CAGATCACACTCCAGTGTTCTATCTCATCATTACAACCAGTCAGTAACCAAGTCTGTGGAGTCGCCTTCCTTGATGAATTTCAGATCCATTGTGATCATCACCACCATAGCTTGGGTCTCAGAATTTTTGACTGAACTGACATTTCTCCATAAGCCTTAGTCTATGTGGGAAGACAACCCACTCTCTGGCACCAACACTACTCACAAAACAGTTGTTCTGAGTAGCACTCTTCAGGATAACCAAGAAGCCCCATCTCACAAGATGCAGACAGTATGGTGCAGTGAAGCTGCACGTGGTGGGTGCTTAGCACATATTTGGTAAGCATATAATGCATACTGCCTGCCGCTCCATAATGCATTCTTTCCCACATACAGTTACCAGCTAGTATAGCTCAACACTTGCAGGATTGGAATGAGCCAAAAAATTTCTCAGGTTATGTTTTCCTGCAACAAGATTACATCCTTTGTCTCTAAAGAACTTAGAAGACAATGTAGGTAGGAACACTGGAAAGAGAAATGGTCTCAAGTCACAGGGCTTGACTTGAACTCTACTATTGGTGTTTGTTTTTTAAAAATAAAAAGCTGATATGCTCTTGAATGAAAAACAAAAACAAAAACAAAAATAAAACATTTAAAAGCAAAGCCTCAACTTGCCTGGAACAATTTTTTTCTTCTAGCTCGTAAACCAGAACTCTGAAGTACTTTGTAGCGCATATTACTTAGTTGTAACAATATGTGGTTCTTGAACATTAAAAATCACATCAGACTCAACCTTCAGTGGTTAGCATTCCAGGAGAATCTGCAACAGATGACAGCAGGCAAGTTCCAATCCCTGCTTCCATGTATATCAGCAGAACATGTCAAAACCTAAATTAAAAGTTTTCACTTGCTTATAAAAAAAAAAATCCTTTGGTTGGCAGTGTCCCACTGATGACATGCAACAATCTTTGCATATGAAATAGGCTAGTCCCCTGCTTTGCTGCTAACTTTGTATAAGTTCCAAAGCATTTCTGGAGCAAGTGATCTATTTGGACTGACAATGCCAAGCTGGGACCTGAGCCCTGAATGAGCTAAAATTACCAAAGCAAGAAGAACGTGGCTTTGGAAGCTATTTTCCCCAAGTGTGGGGTTTCTTGTAGGCGAGGGAGTGATAAGGAATGTTGACTTTTTCCAGATGAACAAAGTTTAATGAAACCTCAATATCCCACTGCAGGTTTCTGTTCAGAAAAACAAGCTGCAGCTACAGTGGTTTCTGTCCCTTCTACTTCCTCTCCCCAAAAATAAAAAATGCACTTGTCTTCCCAAAGTGCATGGGTTTAACATGGCCTGAGCAGTGTGGCCTGTGGGATGGGCTCTGCAGCAGGCCCCTGTCCTGGAGAAGTTCACTGTTTAGAAGAGAGAAAGGCACACTAAAAACTAACAGTCATAAAATCCATATACAAGTAACTAAACAAAGTGAAAAGAGTTCTGAGGAGGAACAGAGGGAGGAACAGTGAATGTTTCTGAGGCAGGGTACTCCCCATGTACTTAGGCTACTCCTTTCCCATAGACACAGAGTGCAGGACCACAAACTCTGCCTTCCCTATGGGAAGGTAAACTCCACTTAGGCAGAGGCCTCATGTCAGACAATGATTCATCCATCCTCGCTGGCTCAAAAGGGGTGCACAAGACTCTGTTCACAGAATAGCAAGAAGCACTATAGGCCTGGGCAAAAGGGAAAGGTGGATGGTTTGCAAAGTTATGAATGCCAGGATACCAAGCTGAAGCTTTATTCAGCAGGCAACAGGGCATTATAGAAGGTCCTAAGGAGAGTAGTCAATTGACAAAGAGTGTTTTAGAAGATTATTCTGAAAGCAATTTGAAAAATACACTGGAGGCAGACTGATCAATTAGAAGGCTTCTGCACTACTTCAGATGAATAAGAGCTGAGGCAGGCCTGAGTAGCTGCAGTGTTAGTGGAGCCGGAAAAGAGTAACTTACCTACAAAGCCACCTCAAACTGTCCCCTTCTCTGTGCTCCTCCAGTGTTTGGCTTCTTCCTGTTTAGCACTTTTGTTGGGGCCTCCAAACTACACACTCCCTGAGGACAGTGCCCATTTCTTCTTCATCACACTGCCCCCCACCCCGAAATACCAGGACCAGAAAAGGAACCTTGTCTCCTGTTGGTCATGCTGTCATTTCAACCACAGAGCCTTAGATTTGCTAGACTAGTAGACTGATTTACTACAGCACTGGGCCGGGCCTACAGGAAGCAGTAAGGGGACACTTGGCCTCAAAGGGAATTTAGTGCCTCCAAGCAATAATAACATAGAATAGGTACCCAGAGAGAATGATATAGGATTTAAAACTGTAAGCACAGAAGAACCAGTTTTGGCCCCTAAAAACCACAAACTTCAATACCACCAGCAGGCTGGATTGCAGTTAGATAATGGTGAGCTCTTTAAACAAGTACTTCTCACTTTCACAACCTGCTTGGCAAATAAATGTGAGTAAGGAGAGACCATGGCTCACTGGTGAGTCAAACCTTGAATTATGTGGACTCTCCATGGTGGACTGGAGCTCCTTTGAGAGGATTTCTGCAAGTAAATGGCAACAGAAGGGCAGGGCGGGGAAGTGTGTGTGCCCCGTAGAAGGGTGGCTGATATTAGAAGAAGAGGAAGAGCAGAATAAACTTGAAAACTCAGAATCAAACACTCTTATCACTTTTCACTTGCCTTGAGTTGTAAGTTTTGTGGAAAGCTTTTCCTTTCCCTTTGCTCCCTCCAAAACCATGCTGTGTGGCTGACGGGAACATCAGTTACTTTACAAAGAGACTGCCAAGGAGAGGCCTGGAATTGGAGTACCTATGCTCCACATCTGGCTTTGCCATTTATTAGCTGTGCAGCTACATGCACGTCTCTGAGCCTCAGCATCCTTATCTATAAAATCAAAATAATAACTATGGAAATACCTAACAAAGAATCACTGGGAGGATTAACAGAGAATGCACAGCCACATAGTAAAACTGTGGCTTTATTGTTTGAATTGGAATTGTGATTTGGTAAAAAAAAAATAAAAAAATAAAAAAGCCACACACTAGAGTCTGACACACACTGAAATCATGGTGTAAACCACACTGGGCAATAAAAGTTCAAAAATCCCATAGCAGTTGGCTTTGACATTTCCTGTGTACAAAAAGAGGTACACTTCAAGATGGTTTTGGGTTGCCCTAGGCAAATACTGAGTAGATTAACACATTTCTCACTGAAAGGCATAAAGGGACACTTAAGCTATCCCTAAAACTATTTTTATTGCTACCTAAGAGTAAGTAAGTAATTAATTAATGGCAATTCACAGACATAAAGTCACCTCTGTCTTCTTCCTGAGGAGTCACCTCCTCACACTCAGTGCTCCAGTACAACTGTGTTTTTACCTAATAGATGGCCAATGAGCTCTTTAAGATGAAGTCACTGTAAGCAATTCTCAGGGCCACCCATTTTAAGTCAACATGGGGTTTCAAGACACACAGCAGAGTTCTTCCTGGATAAATGAATTTCGAAGACCACCTTGGCCTTCCCAATCAAGCCTTCACCTAGGGCAGCAGCTCCAATTTAAAAATTAACCACCAGATTGGAATTCCAAATGTGGCCTTGCCAACCTCAAGTTGTTGTCTTCTGTTTTCTTTTCTCCTCCCAAGAAAAAAATTGAAGAGAGGTGGGAGGAAGTATATTGCTCAAACTAGCACTACACTTCTCTGCATCTGCTTTGCTAGTTTCTGCATGTTGCCATGGTTTGCCTGTTTGATTGTTTATTCATCACAACCTCAAACATTTATGAACATTTCAACTTGAAGAATGAATAGTTTTTGGTTTAAAATTCATAGATTTTAGAATAGTAACTATATGTAGCTTACTTATGAGGATTTGTATCGATTTCAAAATAAAAGTTGTTAGGAGCTGTCATCTGCCTAACTGGCCTCTCAGCAGTGCCTGAAGAGTCAAGCACAGTGTGTACATGTTAGATGAATGGATGGAGGCAAAGGCCCTCGCCACCGACTTCCTGTGACACACATCCCTTCTCTCCTAGGGCCCTTCCAGAGCTAACAGTATGACACAAAAGTAGGCATGCTTTCTTTTCTTCTAGTAAAAAGGAAGCTAAGGATACAACCTAGGTATAATTTCTTCAGGTCCATCCTCTTGGGAAATAAATAATTAATCCCAGTTAAGGTAATTAAAAGCATGCAAACAAAATAAAACCTAATCAGGTACAAAGGATTCCCTTTCCTGAAAACTACTTCCTTTCACTCAGTTTTCCTGGCCCCAAGTGGCTAGTGGTGGGCGACCCAATAGCCTTATGTTCAGGGCTTGTCAGGGAGGTGGTAAGTAGCCCAGGGAATAGTAGTGGTGGGTTTCTACTTCTTCCACTCCCCAACTTCCACAAACCTACTTTCCAGTGGTAATGTAAGGTAGTCAAAACGAATCTGAGTCATGAGGCTGAGATGACTTTCCCTGGGACCCTGGGCAAGTCAACATGGTATTTGGTAGGTTCATATGTTTAGACTAAAAAGGAAACAATGGAAAAGCCTCAAAAATACAAAATACTGACAATGTCTTCGTTCAGGTTCTAACCTCTGGTGTTCTCTTCTAGATGGAAAGCAAAGGTAACCGTCTCTGCTCACTCCAGGGCACATTCATCTTAGCAGCAGCAGCACCAACTAAAAGACTGCTCCCCACACTATCTTCCTCCTGCACATCTACACCTAAGCCTCCTGAACTAACTCAGGAAAAGGACAACAGTATATGAGGCTGAAGGGCTGAACTTGTGCCATCACCAATGCAACTTCAGTATCCTCATTTGCCAAATGATGAGACCACCTGCCATCTCTTAAGCCCTGGGTGAGCAGAGAGGAAAGGTCCAGCCTTAATCTGACCTCTCACTCAGCTCTCACTCAGGGATCCTTCTGACAGATTCAGAAAGGGGTGTGGAGACTTAAAGGTGGCCTTCAGGCCTCTGCCTCCTTACCTCTGCCACCTGGCCAGAGAAGGGCAGGGGAATGGTGCCTCCCTGTGTGCTGAGGATCAGGGCCTCCTCATCCAGTCCAGTGATAGTCCAGATGGGACAAGGATTCATAGATTCCTTCTGTGAGGAGGGACTCCTACCTAGAAGAACTAACAATATCTGCCCTGCTCCTCAATGCCAGGAGAACACCAAGAGCCTTAAAGGGACAGAGACAGCTTGAGAAACTTAAAGAGAAAGAAAGGTGCAGAGAGGAAGCAACTACAAGAGAGATAAAGTGAAGATGAGAAGAGAGAGTGATGATTGTACAAACAGGCAGGAAAAGAAAGGAAAAGTGAGGGAGCTGGAGGAATACAAAGAATCAGAAAGAGGAGGACAGACAGACCAAGAAATGAAGGCAGACTGACAGCATGGGAGTGTCAGGGAAGCAAAGAAGACAAAGGGGATCCTCTGGTCTTTTAAACTGGTCTGGCCTCTTAGATACATCCGTCTCCACCAGAAATACGCCCAGGGCTCTAGAGGAGAAGGCAGGAGCAAGCAGTGGCTGCACCGGCCCCCTCCACCCCAGGCGCCCGGGCCGCCCACCTCTCAGCCCCCGAGGGTCTCCAGTCCCTCCCGGCCCCTCTCGCTCACCTGCCAGCGCCAGGATCTGGGCCTTGTGAAGCAACAGCGCTCCCCAGTCACGGGGGGCGCGCGGGGGACTCTCAGGCCCGGTGCCCAGCTCCTCCGGGCCCCGGTACACAGCGTACACCTTCTGGTTGTCAAAATCCAGCCGCGAGCGGGGGCTGAAGTCGCGCACGCAAGACACGGGCAGCGCGTAGCAGACGTTGTCCTCCAGGAACCGCACAAAGGCGTACATGGTGGGCGCCGGGGGCGGGCCCGGTCCGGTCGGTGAGCCCGCTGGGCGGGCGCAGAGGTGGGGACCGGCTAGAAAAACGACCGGGCTCCCCCCACTGTTATTGTTCCTGAAAGCACCGCTCTGCCAATCGGCTGCTCTCGCCTGGGCACGGAAAAGGGAGGGAGGGGAGAAAGGGGGGCGAGGGGCGGATGAGGGGGGTTTGGAAGCGCACCGCCACTCGCAAAGTCAGACCCGAGCAATCACAGCCGGAGTGCGATTCAAGTCGGGAGGGGGACGAGCAGAGAGATTCAGTTGGAATAATAATAATAGTAACAATAGCACTGCAGTGGAGAGTGCGAAGCATTTGACTGAAATTTGCGCTGTGAGCAGGATTTCACAGCTTCAACATTCGCATTCAGGACAAATTGTAAGGAAGAATGAATGTGTAAGGGCACGAATGCGACCGAGGTGGGTTGAGGGCATTCTCCTTGAATCCTAAAGTGTAAACTTGCACTTCCAAGCAAGCAGAAGTTTGAAGTGTTTCAAATTTAGCCACCCTCCTCAGCTCCTTTGGTCCTTCTCTCCGTTATTCTTTTTCTTTTTCTTTTCCTTCCTCTTTTCTTCCTTTTTTATTTTTTTCTCCTTCAAAACTGTCAGCACTGCACCGGCCGTGGTAGGGTCAGTCAGCCAGAAACATTCCCCCAGAGCTGCTGCCAAATTGGTTTTGGTCACAACTGGGACATATCTGGGTTTCCCAGTTGGACAAGCCTGCTGGTGTAGTGTAGGGTTTATCCAGAGCTGCTTTCATCCTAAGGCAATAGGCATCTTTCTCCTTTCAGATGCCTCTCTGCCTCTGAGCAGCGACCAGTTGAGACGAAGCAGGTAGTGGAGGTCTCCAGGGATCCATGGTGAAGACCAGGGGTTTCTGCAGTACCTTCAGGAGTTCAGCGATGATACTGTATAGAAAAGCAGTCTTTACACTGTCCCTAATATAACAGATGGAAAAAGCCCAGAGAACCTTGTCTGCCCCCACCCCAAGCTCTGCATGCCACATAAAAGAGTTTAACTGCTCTTGAAGCCTGAAGGGATGGGGTTTTTATCAGATATGGCTACTTATATTCCATTTGCCTAGCCTAGACCCAGCATTTAGGAGGGACTTAATGAATTTTAGGTGAAGAAGAAATAAAAATGCATGTCCATCCATCCATTCATTATTTTATTCAAGCGACCAGCATTCATTGGGTACATACTACATGACAAATTCTGGCTAGGCATTGGAATTAAAGAGATGAAAAGACAGGACAAAAACCTGGACTTGTGAATCTTTCAGTGTTAGTGTATCAGAACTAACCAAAGTTAGGTTACTGTATGAATAACACACTTTCCTCCTCCTTAAGACCTTTATAATATAATCTGGGAGTAGTAAGAAAATATAAGTAATGAGATTATATTGAGAAAAGTGTTCTTATAGAAGAATGTTTAATGGAGGTGGGAGGTGCAATTAAATGTGATATTTCATAAAGTCATTTTAATGAACTTAACCTGTAACAAAAAGTAAAAGAACTGCAACATGCTAACAGTGATTGAGGTTCTTATACTATAGGTAATTTTGTTTTCTCTTGTACTTAATTTCCTTTTATTCTTTATTTTATATTATTGTTGTTTTCCACAATGAGGCATTACTGTATAATAAAAACATTAAACATTAAAAAATTAGAGCACTATGCTCACATTTCAGAGCAGCCAATGATAAAGATAAGCCAAAACCTTAGAAATATTTCACTTTGATGCAGGGTGCACTTTATAGAGGTGAATCCCATCAACACATAGCTCCCAAATACAAATTCACAGGTCAGATCAAGTTGCCTTCAACCAGCCCACTAGTAAATATGCAAAACAGTCCAGACATGACTCCTAGTTGAACTGATGCAGATGTTGGGTCTATCTTTCTCCACACACTTGTAGAAAAGAGAGGAGACACTCTTATTTGTTCCAGCATATTTATCTTCTTGATTGTGAATTATTTTGACTGATATTAAATAAGCTTTTATTCCAAGAATATATTCCTGTGGTGGTCAAGGGGAAGTAATGTGCAACAAGATCTCTGATAATTAACAAAATGGATCATGCAGAGTTAGACATATTTAATCAAAGTCCATGAGGCTGCAGATTATATTTGCAAAATGATTAGTAGTACCATGATTAACTTCCTCTGCTTCTAAGTGAGAATCATCCCCAAGTATGTTACCAGTTTCATCTCTCAGTTCCTTCCTGAACACAGTACACTCCAGAGTATACTATAAAGAAGACACTATGTTTCAGCAGGTCCCCAACCTTTCCTCCCTAAGTACACGGTGACCTTGCCTTACCTTGAAAACCAATTTAAATGTCATCTTTTTCATGAAGCTTTGGCCAAACTCTCTCAAGCACCTGTAGCCTACAAGCAGAGGCCAGTCTCTTTCCATTTTATCCCAGAGTCCTTTATTCCATTACTAAAATGAGAGTTCTCTGAGGATAAATACTAGTAACTTTAGCATCCCAAGTATCTATCACCAGGCTTGGATTAAATGCTTATACAGAAAAAGGTATGAAAAAGAGATACAAAGACAGCATGAATAACAAACCTCTTGTGTGATTTTCCTTAAAAGCCCATTCCTCCCTTTCAGAAATGGGGCTGAATCTCAACTCCATCTTTCCCATTCTGAGTGACCCAAGGGCAAGACATAGATTCCATTCTTAAGACACATTCATGAACATGTTGAATATCATTGCATTCCAAGGTTCAACAAATTCCCTACCCAATACAATGTAAATTATTATTATAAGGCAGAAGTTTCATTTTCCAAGAACCTCAAAAGAAGAAAAGAACAAATGATGAAACTGGATGTCAACAGAGTAAACATAGACTCGGATACATTGCACACATAGGTCCAGGGAATGGAGAAAGAATAGCAGGTACAGGGTGCTCAGAGACACCATGAGCAGCAATAGAAAGACACCCCAGTTCTGTTTCCTGTGTGGCTCAAAATTCAGTCTACTGACAAAAACTCATGAAGAACCTGTTCTGTGCCATGCTGTAACACCTCCCTCAGTGAAACCCAAGTATACTGTGCCTCTTCCTTGACCCAGAGACACAGCCCTGGGATTCATACTCTGAAGAAAGTCAAGATGTTTTTGATTTATCAATTGGCAAGCAAAGATAGTCCAAATATACAGATCCAGACTCAAAGATACAATTAAAACACATTAAGTTCAACCGAATCTCTGCTTCATCATTCCCCACAAATGGTCATTCTCATGCCTTTTATACAGTTCTAATGTCAGATTGTTTACTACCATCCCTTAACTCTCACACACTACTAATTGTTAGAAAGGTCTTCTTTACTGACACTAAGACAGAACCTTCCACCTTGTAGCTGCCACGCTATGCTCACTGAGAGTCTCAAACTTGCCTTTCAGATATGAGGCAATTGAGGATCTTGTCTCCCAAGCTTCTTCCCAGATATCTGCACCTCCTTCACCTTTCTTTCTTCATATGGCCTGGTCGGTGATGATTACTGGGATATCTACCTGTCTTCTAAAGCTTACTATAAACTGGTGTGTGTGTGTGTGTGTGTGTGTGTGTGTGTGTGTGTTGTACTGTGTATACATGATCTTGATTTCACACTGAATTCC